GGACCTCGGGAAGTCATCTAGTCCAATTCCCTGCTCAAAGCAGACCCGCCCCCAGCTGTATCACCCCAGCCACAAAAACCATAGATCTTCTGAGATCCCTCTGAATTCTGGGGATTTGCTGAGGTCGCAGGGTCATCTATCCACAAGCCCTGTGCCTCTGCAGTGACTGTCACTGCCGCCAGGTTCCAGACAGTATGATCCTGTTGCTCCCCCAGCTTGGAACTCCTTTCAGTGGATAGTTCACAGGCATGGAAAGGGCTCTGTAGGCCAACTAATACATATCCTGGCTGTATTAAATCACCCATAGTAACCTCACAAGCTGTGGATGAACAGTATAACCTCCTTGTCATCATTGGCAATCCCTCATTGTCAAGGATAATTGTCTTCCATGATCGCTTTACCTCCAAGATGGTTGACAAGGCCAATCCAAGATCAACAGACTGTTGCAACTTGGGCACTTGTTTCCATGTGGGGTGGGTGGCTCTGGATTTTTTATTCAGTCCGGAGGACACTGTTCCTTCTGTTTCCACATCTCTGTCTCCTGTTGTTGTTGTGAGGTTTCAAAGTATGAGATCCTTGGAGCAGGCTCTTCTTCCATTTGGGGCAGTCTTGAGTGATAGTCTTCTATGAGTTGATGTTACATTTTTTCAAGGTGCCCTTGAGGACATCCTTGACATGCTTTCTCCACCCTCCTCTTGAGCATACACCTTGATAGAGCTGAGAGAATAAAACTTGCTTTTGGAGCCTGGTGTCAGACATCTGGATGATGTGTCTGGTCCAGCAAAGTTTATAGATGATCATTACCTCAATGCTTATAGTGTTTGTTTGCAGAAGGATGCTAGTGCTGGTACGGCTGTCTTCCCATAGGATTTGAAGGATCTTCTGCAGGCAGCATTGATGGTACTTCTCCAGTGACTTGAGGAGTCTCTTGTACATTGTCCATGTCTCAGCTCTGTACAGTAAAGTGGGGATCACAGCTGCTTGATAAACCATGAGCTTGGTTTCGGATCGTATGTCACAATCTTCAAACCTCCATTGCATCAGGCATCCGAAGGCTGCTGCACTTGCACTTTTGAAGTGATGTGATGTTGCATTACTTGGTCCATGCCAGCCTTCTGTGAGAGATGGTTTCCGAAGTACAGGAAATACTCAGTGTTCTCCAGAGTCTCACCATAAACCTGAATTATGGTGAGCTCTTAATGAGCTGGGACTGCTCATTAAGAGCTTGTTGATGAAGGACCTTAGTCTTCTGAAAGTTAAGTGTCAGTCCCATTTTCTCGCATGCCTTGGTGAAGACATTGACGGTTGCCTGAGGTCTGCCTGTAAGTCAGCACTCGCTACAGCATCATCAGCGAACTGGAGCTCAATGATTGAGATTGAGGTGGTCTTGGTTTTGGTTCAGAGTCAGCTGAGATTAAACAGCTTACGATCTGTTCAGTGGTTTACCTCCAGTCTGAGCTAAACTGGTTGACTTGAGTTGAAGGCTTTCATGTCATACCACCATCACATGTGGAAGTCCACAGACAAGTAGGACCAGGCCAGGGAGGTAGCTAATCATGCATCCATGCGGCCTGGAGCAGATCTGTATATGGATGGTCCCTGCCATATGTGTACCTAAGGCTCAGAGTACATTTCTTTATTCCTAAAGCAGCACTGCATTTGTGTCCATGCTTAATAACCTTATAGCTTCTGCTTTGACAGTGAATGTTGAATGGATACCAGAGGTTCTAGGATTTTCCAGTTTGAAAGGCAGGAAACTTATCTTTCATTTGCTTTTTTGACACGGTCGGGCAGTTAGTTCTAAAACAAAAAAACCCTGCAATATAATATCTGGTTTGCCCACAGATTCTGATCTTTTAATTTCAGGTGAACCAGCAGAGCGTATATAGCCACTTTCATCCTGCACTTGCTCCAGTCATCTCCACCTTGCAGAATTTTGTGAGCACCAAGAGGTCGTCATCAGATGCTTCTCAGAGAAATTCAGGTATAGTCTAAAATAGGTCTATCTATCTGGCAGTCCTGAGGCTGCATGTGGCCTGCAAAGTGTTAATTTGCCACCCTGGGCTTCCCACCTAGCTGCCACTCCCTCTGTTGTTCTGGCTTCCCTGTCTGGAAACCAGGCTCCCCGTCTGCTTTCACTTCCTGCTCCTGCCCCAGGGGATGGGGGGGGCACCACAGCCACAAGTGGCCCAGCCCAGCCCATGGTGTTGGGGGAGCCCGCAACCAGGGAGCTGAAAGTGAGGCCTGGGTGCCACCTGCATGTGTGGTGTAGTGGGTGCGGAGGGGGAGATACACATATGCTGGGTGGAGGGGAAGGGGGATATCTGTAGATCATGTGGTTCAGGGGGCATGTGGCTTGCACTGGTGCAGCTCACATAACATGCAGCCCCCAGCTACTTTGAAGTTAGACATCTCTGCTGTCAAAATAATGTGTTATTCTGCAAAGACTAACTGTAAACTCCAATATGCTGGCTTTAAAAAAATATCCTATGATAGCTGAATCTGTTTTCCTAATTCATCTCCCATGAGATTTATCCTGATATTCCAAACCCATGAGCAGCTTCCAACAGATGTCATTATTTTTAAAAGTCTGCCAAAGAAGTGCTGCTTCCTTCTCAATATGTAGAGTTCCTGTTCCCCTCCTAGATCTGCATTAGGCAAGAAGCTCTTCTGGGTTAGAAACTGCTTTTCCATAAATTAAATTATTCCCACTTTAACATTTTCTGCCTATGATGTCCTGTACATTTTGATTAACACATACAAAAGGGTATTTCAGTCTTGAAATAATTAAATCATGGAAGAGACTGAGACTATCCTTCAGTAATGTACTTGAAATTATTTTAATTAAAGTTAATTTTTGCTAGCTACAGGCCTAAACCAAACCTTTACAACCAAACACTTAGACTTTTAGTTTCCATTCCAAATGCTTTCCTCTAAACCATCTCCATTCTTTCATATAATTGTAATGCTTTTAAATATTGTAGCATAATAATTGCAGTCCACAAAGTATCTATGCCAGTTAGCCTGATTAACTAGATGGCTATTATTTACTAATACAGCACAAATTGGTAAAAAAGGAAATCTATAAAATTTCACCAGACAGAAATTAGATGTATGCAGTGCCTTTTGTGATGGGGACACTGATTTATGAATAATACACTGATTTGTAATTGACTGAAACATACAATAGGTCTGTTTCGTAGGCCAACAAAATGCTGCTATTCAGTAGATTATGGTGAGCAACTGCTGTGCTACAATGGCCATCACAATGACATCCATCAAACAGAGTGATTGCATCCACATTTATCACTTGGTACAACAGAAATCCTATCCTTGTCACGTGACCAGTGTTTTCCTGTTTTGGTGTGGGAGGACTCTGTTTCTGCTTAATGATAACTGGCTAGGCAGCAAGAGGCCATTGTCACCTGACAGTGTTATCTCTTAATTATATTATCTCTTAATTACAGCAGCTAATTGTTTGTTTCTTTATTCATAGGAGCAGATATGGGCCCAAGGACTGTAGAGATAACAAGGGTCAGTGAGTTATTTTCTGTGATTTCAAAAGGCTGGTGTGTCTAATGTTAATTTTGCAGAGTTTGACATGCACAACTGCATTATTACTTAATTGGTGTCTGTACTTTCTGTTTTTATTTATACCTATATATTGGGACTCACATATCTGTCAGAAATTACTGGATGTATACTTCAGACCTCCCTGGGTATCCATCCATTCCTTCTCCAGGTTTAGGGTCCAATCTTGCAAACACTCAGTGTTCTTCATTGTGAGTGTGTTGTGTAACTATTGTTATACCTGAAAGTATGTTTTTACAAATCCAGGCTCTCAGCTTGTTGCCTGTTATATTCAGTCACTGAGTAGAGACCTGTGCTTTTAGGGGGGAAAGCCATATGCATTAATTACTGATAGATTCTGCATGAATACAGCTATTGATTGTTACAGTGTGAATAGTCATGATCTCTGTCTTTCTTTTAGGGACCAAATGATGCCCTTGGTATCAGTATAGCAGGAGGAAAGGGAAGCCCTTTAGGAGATACACCAATCTTTATTGCCATGATTCAAGCAAGTGGAGTAGCAGCACGTACACAAAAGCTCAAAGTAAGCAGATGAAGGAAAAATGTGTCCTCTCAGCACTTGCTGTTTTTATTTAGGAAAGGAGCTGGAAAACCCTTCCCAAACATAGGTCACCTTCTGGCAGAGATATTGTCTTCTGAACCTCTTCTCTTTTGTTAGTCAAAGATCTTCCTTCCCTTTTATTTCTTTCTCTACCTAAAGAGGTTGTGGAATCTCTCCCTCACTGTAATATTTGAAGTGCAGGTTAGACCTGCGGTTCTCAGATGTCTTAAACTCAACATGCTTCCTCCGAAAATGTTAGCTCTTAGTTTTTACTTTTTTTTTCACAGAGGGGGAATAGCAGAAAGTTGTTTTTGTTGTAAAGAGAGCAAGCCCACAACAGGTCAGAATGATTTTGACGTGACAGGTTCCTGTTTGAAAACTCTGTGTTTATCTTGTGAATCACTTGTATGCGTTTGCACAGCTATCAGTGCCAATATTGAGAACCACTCCACATCACCCTTAAAAGGATTTTATAGCACCCTGGTTGAGAATCACTGGATTAAGCAAGCATTTGTCCATCATGGTTTAGATAAGAGATGGTTCTGCATTGAATAGCCAGTTGGACAGGAAGATCTCTTGGAGTAGGGAAAGCCTGAGCCTAAATTGATTCAATCTTTGCAGATTAGTCTAACCTGCCTAGGTTGAATCAGTTTGTAACTGTACAGACATTCCCTCTGGACTGAGGAAATGCAGGCACATGCCTGCAGTGGATCAGGCTAGAGGCCAGGGGGCATTAGAACAGCCCTTCCTTCACTTCTGCAGTGCTGAGCTGTGGTGGGGCATGGCCAGAACCCCAGCCCCGGGCTAGCACTCTGAGGCAAATGGGGGGGGAGGTGCAGTGCATGCATCTCTTGTTGATACTGAACTTTTCAATCTCCCTCTCCTTGCTTCTTCATACTGTTTGCAAACTGGACAGGTGAGGGAGCCAGCAAGGGGCTGATAACGCAGTGTTTATCAGTCCATCAACAAAACAAAAGCCTCTCTCATTAGTTCAGGCTCTTTTTAAACAGCTCCTTCCAGAGAAGGAGCTGAGGGACACCAGCTGACCTGTTGATTAGGTCCAAAAAGCCCTAAGTGGACACTGTTCTGTTTGCCTGTTCCAGTGAAATCTCACTCTCTCTCCCTCTCTCTCTCTCTCTCTCTCTATTAGCTAGCATACCACGTTCCTAGGGTCCATGGGGCTGGGGTCTGTTCTGTGGGAGATGAGAGGGAGGGAGGGAGGGGGGAATCCCTGCTTAAGCAGCAAGCAGTGTGGGGGCTGGGCTGGCGCAGGGAGAACCCAGGCAGACCCAGCTGTGCCTGCAGTCTTTGCAGGAGCTCTGGGTAGGGAACAGAGAGGACGGGCCAGCCCTGCTCTCTGGAGCAGAGAGCACAGCCCAGAGCTGCAAAGCATCTGAGATGCTGGGGACTCTGGTTTAACTTAAACCAGGAAGGGGTTTGGGACAGACATTGCATAAACTGGTTTGACCTAAATCAGTTAAGTCTGATACTACATTCAACCAGGTTTATCTTAAACTAGTTTCAGCCATTTTGAAACCAGTTTATGTACACTGAACTTATGTTCTGTTACAAGTTTAAACAAGTTTCTGATCACTTAAACTGGTTTATGTGTAATGTCTGTTCTTAGCCTTGAGGTTCCTCTTAAACCTCTTTTTCTGTGTGTGATAATCAGAGTGATTACCTATGTGAAAAAAAATCCAGAAGAGAGAATTTAAAAGTATTGGCCACTGTCTAATAATAGTTTGATAGGTGGAAAGGAAGGCAGTCAGCAACCTTTGACCCACCAGCTCTTCAAGATCAGCAGCAGGTGCTTTATAGACCCCAAGTAGAGCGCCTCTTAGAGATTATACACAGTCAGCATGTAACTGCTTTTACATTGAAAATTATCATTTGACATTTTCTGCCTTTAAAGTTTCAAAGCAAAATATTTATTACACTTCTCCTTTTACTATTTTGCTTTGTGTACACACGGTAACAGACAAATTCCAGAAAGCTATTATGTTTTTATATGGATCAGCTTAAGATCTACTTAGAAGAAAAATATGTACAGTTTGCATGGGATAGCTTTGGTCCTGATTCCATAGTCAAATCCCCTGGCACAGACTCATATACCCATGCAAAGTCCAAATAATATTTTGAAAAATTCTTCAAGGATGCAAAGCCTCATCATCTGCATCAATAGTATGTTTTGCAGACTGAACTCAAAAAAACTTGTGTTTGCTCATCATGAACTAAGATAAAAAGTACACGTCTTCCTAAATGTCTGTCAGTGTGTGCCTACACTTAGGAGTATGTTCATACAGACTTGTAAGTCTTTTTTCCAGGTGGAATTTGAACCGAGTTGCTAATGATATTCTCCCCTCTTGCAAATTTAAGTAGTAGAATCTGCCCCTTCTTTTTCTTTGATTGTTCTGTTATTTTTTTTAAACGTGCATTATCCTTGCTGCTCTGAAGAACACTGACTGATCAATGGAAATGGAGAAGTCTGACAAAAGGCATACTGTAAAAGAGAAGCATGACTGTTCAGTGCCAAGTTGACAAGGAATTTTAAGCATTCTTAATTTTAATTTTCGTTAATGCTAGTAATTTTCCATTACTCTTGTACTTTTAGGTTGGAGATCGGATTGTAAGTATTAATGGGCAACCTTTGGATGGGCTGTCTCACGCAGATGCTGTTAATCTACTAAAGAATGCTTACGGGAGCATTATCCTGCAGGTATGGTGATAAATTGAACATGCAGCTGCATTAGGGTAGATAAGTGGTGTTCAAAAAAAAAAAAAACCTACCCTAAGCATCACTGGCACAAGACATCATAGCACAGCGGGGTGCTTGCTGATGGGGATTGTGCAGGATGAAAGCAAGAAATTATTATTTTCATTCAGAAATTCTTTATTGCCACCCATACAGGCTGTGAGCATGATTGTATAAAAGCATAACAAGGGGAGCAAATGACTTGTTGCTACACATGATAAATCAACAAGGCATTTAGCTTCCAATGCTTTTTTTTTCAATCCAAGTTAACTAGAAACATAAAATGACTCCTTTTCGCACACTGCTAGGCTGTGACTGAGCTGACCAAAGTGTTAATTTCCTTGTTCTTGAAAGGGAGGGAAAGTAACTCTAGTTGTGCTTTGTAATTCGTATTCACAAGTACAACAAAAAAGTGCTTGTCAACCAAACTCCAGTTTGTAAATGCTACAGTTGTTAAATGCCAGTTAATCTGGAGGAGCCTGAAGCAGAGGTGGGGAGTGCTCACTAGCTGCAAGGTGGAAAGATGCTGCTAATTATCCTTTATTAATACACTGACTTCTGGCTTACTGGGATTTTTTATGGCAGTCAGAAAATGGTTGGTTTTTACACAATAAAATGGAAGAAATACACTCCCCAACGTGGTAAAAATAGTGTTGATTTGTTAAATTTCTATAATAATTAGGAACCAAGATTAAAACCTCTCCCCACTGAGGACAGAGGTGGTTATGCAAAAGTTGACTGGATCACGATAGATTTTTTTAGGCTCCTTACTTTGCACTATAACATTAATGTGGGTAAGAAAAGAGTAGGAAGAGATGGAATTCTCCTAGACTTAGTTTTAGACTAGCTGCCTCTCTTTCGTATTTGTTCATGACACAGTGACAAGGTACATGCTGAGCCAGTTTTGTACCTGGTGTATATTTGCACAGCTTCAGTGATGTCAGTGGCCCTACATGGACTTGGAAAGACTGAGGATCTTGAAATTGGTTATGTCATTGCTAACATTCAGGGATATTGCTTTGATATCCATTGTGTAGAAAATGTGAAATGATTTGAGACTAAATGTTGCTGATGTTGAACATAAATTCTATCCTGCTATGTATTTAAAAATGTGTTTCTAATGCTGCCTACTGTCATTAGAAATGAGCCTTTTGTTTAAATAAATGGTCATGCATGTAACAGCTGGGGTGTTTTCCTTCCACATTTACCACTGCCTTGTACTTGAGTACTTGTTTAATTTCTCTTGAATATTTTGTATTTTTGTCCAGGATAGACTATAATCTGCTTTTCACAGTCAACATAACCTGTTTTAGGAAACTAGAATGTTATATTTTAATATAGTTAAGTGAGTAAAGCATTCATACATATCAGTGAAGACTGTAAGAATGATGAGCAGGATACAACTACATTACATACTAAGTCTTGGCACTTTTTCAATGAGTGGGTTACATTTTTATTAAAACTATATAAGTGGAAACGTTCTATCAGTCTGATAATCATGACTGACATATCATTAAGTAATTGTATTTATTATCAGGTTAGACCACCTCATGGCAAACTGCTCTGAAAGGTCAGATAATTGTGTTCAGTGGTGTGGAAAGGCTTATTATCAGGATGTTCTGGGAAGGATGTTAAAGGAGTTTGCAAATGCTGTTTGCAAATGGGAGATTAGGGTCTCAGGGGAACAATCATCCCTTCCGGCTGTTTTGATGCTTCTGTTTAATCTTCTTTCTGCAGGTGTAGTAATGAGATAAGGAGAAGCTTTTTACAAGGTTGTTGAACTCCGATATATGTTCTTACTGCCAACTACGGATTTGCGAATATAGATTTATTTTGCCACATTTTATTTAACAAGGAAGTAAGACAGATATTGCAACTTTTCCCCCTACTGAAATACGGGGGTAGAATTGTTGACGATAACTTTGACTTTTACTCCCATGGCAGCCTATGGTTCCACTTAACCCTCAGCCCCAAGTAAGGGTAGCTTGTGAGACTGAAACCTTGACTCTGAAACTCATAAAGAAGATATGGCCTTCTGGTTTATCCTTGATGGTGCTACTGTGAGCCACTGTCTCATAGTTCAGGAGACCCAATTGAGACTCTCACTTGCTTTTTCCTGAGCCCTCAGGTGCCAGCTGAGTCTTGGTGGTAGGATGTTAACTCTTGGAGAGGGAAGAGCAAAATCTTTTCAGTGTGGCCTTGGTTAAAAAAGGACTCTTGTGAGCTTTCTGTTATGTTTTCCTCTGTCCCATGTGGAGAATAGAAAATGGTTCAGACAGTATCTAGGAAGAAGGGGAGGGTAAGTCATCTTTGCTGGAGAAAAATAATACGAGGGTTGGCACGAATGGGTTGTATTGAGCCCTGTGGCCTTTTATTTCCTTTGAGAAATTAGCCAACGCTCTAAATTAGCCAACACTCTGAATAATTGCTGCACCATATGTTTCAATTTTCATGTCTTGGGACTCACCTAAAATAAACAAATTCCTACAAGTTTGCCACAGCACAGTTTCATTTTTATTTCTGTTTAAAAACCAGGTTTAATCCGCTCATTTGTAGATTTTTGTATTTTACTAGTCTTTCCCTGTACCATCCCTGGACCATGCACTACCTTGCGCTGCATGCCTTGGGGTGGAGAAAATGAATGTTAGCTGTGACCAAATGAGGCTTTGGATGGGGATGGAGCTGCTTGGCCTCATCCCGTTATCATCCTGTAACTGCTAACCTCCTCTCACCAGCACTCCTTGTGTTGTAAAGGGAAAATAAAGCCCTGAAAAGAAGCAGTGGCTAACAGTGAGTGGCCACTCTGCACGGTTATTATGGGTGACTTTTTACATATTTGCTAAACATTCCCAGTAGAAGAATCCAGACCATTCACCACAGTTGTATGGATACAAAAACAATTCTCGAATGGAGGCTGTCACGTTTTCCTTTATTAATCAAAGTGTGCTTAGATGGAGTGGGAATTTTCTCTGCATGGGTGGGCCCGTGTGATTTGTGAAACAAGGAGACAGTATTCAGTAATACAGGGGTGGGCAAAATATGACCTGCGGGCCATATCCAGCACACCAATTAATCCTATCTTGCCTTCCGGCCACTGCCAGGAGCCTGAGGAGGGAGAGCTGTGCCCCATGCCGCTCTCCTCTGCCACAGCTGGGGCCAGGCTGAGGCACATAGCATATGACATGCAGACTCTTCTGAGCGTGTACACACACTCACACTCACACACACACTTTCTATTGGTGCTGTGGCTGCCAGCAGCTGGGCCCACATGAGACAAGGTGCGATGCAGTATGCCTAGTAGCTGTCCTGCCTGCCACTGCTAGGAGGTGAGTCTGTGCCAGACACAGAGAGTGGGGCTCACCCTGGGGCAACCACCCCCAACTTTCCCAGTGTGGCATGGTGGCAGCGGCTCGTTGCGGCAGCTGAGTGGGAAGGCTACTCGGTATACTGCATTGCACCCCATCCCATGCAAGCCCAGCTGCCAGTAGTCGTGGTGCCAGGACTGCACAGTGCCAATAGGAAGCCAGGTGGGCATGTGGTGGATGCGGAGGGTTGGAGGGGAATGCATGCTGCAGCAGAACAGAGTGGCGTGGGGTGCAGCCCTCCCGTCCTCATTCTCCCAGCAGTCGCCAGCAGGCTGGATAGGATCAATAGGCATCTTCCCTGCCCTGCCCCCCCCCCCAACCTAAACAGCTCACCAAAGCTCATTAAATGGCCCTCCAGCCCAAAAAAAGGCCCACCCCTGCAGTACTAGATAGCTGTCAAATGACTGCAGGGAGTATACTTTTTAACTAACTTATAAAATACATTGATGGAGATATGTTTCAACAAGCCCACGTGAATTCACTGCCTTGTTGCCTGTCATAATATTGTTAAACTGTACTAATTAGTTCATAGCAATAGTGAATGATGGCACCAATATAATTCACTGGTTTCTGAACTGGAGGGTATAAAGAATCAGCCTGTTGTCATGAGCAAATGTGATGAGAAATCAAAGAGGCAGAAACATTAAAATGAGGGTCAGATTTGTTACCCTCTAGCCAATAAAAGTCTAGGATTGCAAAGGAGAACGGTGAAGAAAAACTGAGGTTCCCATTGCATGCCATCAGGTCAGTCCTTTTGGGAGACTTAGCCCCCAAAGGCAGGTCCTAATTTTAATCCTACAAGTCTCCAGAGCTTTCACTAGAAGCGAAGTGAGGCCCTCTTTGTGGGAGACTTGTGTTTTCATAGTAGCTTTCTTGACCGGTTTTGTCCTTGTCCCAGCCCTGGGGCACCAGTGGTTTCTCCTCCATGTTCTATGACCTTGCTTCCCTCCACCCCGCAGTGTAGGGTCTGTGCAAAAGTTAACGTTGTCTGAAGTCTCAGGGCAAAATCTAGCCTCAGATTTGGATAAATATAGTACTGTCACCTGACTGAAAGCTGGCTGCTATATTCATTTTTCTTCATGAATCAATTATTTGCATTTGATTCAAGTTTACCGTAGGAAGAATTTTTTTTTCACCTGTAGTTTTGATTCTTAAAAATACCTTTTTCCCATATGGTAGTTCACATTTGCTGCTTCTGTGTTTTACCAGTGAGGCCTATAACTAATTTTTTTTGCATCTGTATTTTCAGGTTGTAGCAGATACGAATATCAGTGCCATAGCCAGTCAGCTGGAGAGTATGTCTGCTGGATGTAACCTTAACACCCCTTCTGACCACCACTCAGAAGATTCAGAGTAAGTATTAACCAACTGCTTTTGGAGTATCTGTTTGTGGGACAGAGATTCTGCTCAAAGGATAGTCAAATACTTCCCTTCCCCTAACCAAGTATAGGACTGTGGGCTGAGTCTCTTCACCTGTCATTTCCTTCTCACTTAATTTACAACAACTTTACATGCTCGCTGTCATCTTCTTTAGGATAGTAATGGAATCATATTGATCTTCAATGGGTAATGTAAGCTGGTAATGATGAGCACAAAATATAGTGGTGTGGTTTTTCCAAGCACTTAATAGATTTCTAAAAAAACCCCCCAAAAAACACATCTTTTTTTTTTTCCCCAGTTGATGTGTTGTCATGATTCTGGTTTTATCTCACAAGTTCCTTATTTGAAATGTACCATGGTCACTGCAATCCAAAATTACAGTATCTGTCATCTGTAGAATTGAACAAGTAGCTTCAGAAAATTAGCATTTTAAATGAACATTGCAAAACATGCAACAAAACTTTGTGTTCCTTTGCCCCTTGAGTCTTTTCCCTTAACAATGGAAAAGATTATAGAGAGAGGTCTAACCACCTATTTCATGGACTTATAGTCATCAGAGATGAAAGACCTGTATATGTCATGACATGGCATGATATAACCACGCCTAGTCATGCAGTATTGTTCTTTGCCATACCCTTGTTTTTAGTGCTTTCTCTAGTTTTGCTGTAAGTGTTTCAAGTGACTGGATTCTACCACTTTCCTTTGGGGATTATTCTGCAGTGGATCTCACTATACTGGTATTTTTTTCTTGATAGATTCTTTTATTCTCACCTAATTTAATTTTACCTCCAAAATAATTTCTTTCCATTCCTGGCATTTACTCCTTTCAAATACCTAAAAGCTATGGTGGTTAGTTTGTTGTCATTTAGCCATGCCCTTCATGTATTCAGCTCTTTAATATTTCTTCAGCCCTTCGAAACGCTTCATGTCCCTTTTGACTTTTTGCTATTTGTTTTTCATTTTATTTATTTTACATAATTGAAATCCAGTTTGGGGTCCTTTGAAGCTTTGTAAACACAAAAAAAAGCCTTCTGAGTTCTTAGCTGTTTAGTTTTATCCCTCTTCCTTGAAAGCAGTGTCATTTAATGCTGTACCCAGTAGTACTTTTGTTGGCTTTTTCTACACTAAAGTCACAAGGACACATAACTTTGGAGGTGTGATAAAGAATTAGATAGATAAGCACAAATGTTAGCTATTTTATTAAAGAAATGGTGACCTGAAAAAATCCATCCATAGATTATGATTTTATATTTTAAGCAGAGATGCCCCAAACTATTCTGCCCAGAGTAGTTATTGCTAGGCACATGCAACTGCCTTTCTTATGTTTAAACTATGATTCTGAAGTAGTACTGACATGCATAACATGCGTGCCCCTAGTTTCTAGGTTTTGTGCTCTGTCCATGGCATGTTGGGACAGATCCTATTCCAGCTACTAGACTTCTAATTGGCACTTAGGCATCCTGGGAAAACCATTAGTTTTGTAGTATAACTTCCTCTTAGCCTTAAACCTTAGGTGCAAAAGTGCCCCAACAGAGAATGACCCATTCACCCTTCTGTATTATTAGTTTCTCATGGTTTTGAACAGGGTGGTATACAGTCACACTTGTAAGTCTAAGAGGTGGAATAGGATCTAGCCACTAGATGCCTAATTACTAATTAAATGCCTAAAATAGAGTAGGATGTAATCCATTGCCAATAAAATCATATGATGAAATTCTGGTGCCATGAAATAATACTACAAATTCACTACCCACATACTGGAGACGACAAAGATGGACCTGTGCGAAAGCCAACACGTAGTATCCATAAACTAGTAAAAGTGTGTCTCATCCAGAATCAGGATCTGCTATTGCAGAACAACATACTCTCCCTGAGTTCTAGTAACGTAATTATAGACAGCTGAAGCCAAAGTGATATTGCCTGGGTAGCAGGGTGCACAGAAGTGCATTTCAACATAGGGTCAGAGGTGTGGTTTGTGAAAATATAGAAAACAGTTTACAAGATAAACATCTATTTGAAATTCCTCCTTCTACAAAAAGTCCCTTGTACATCTGTACTGCTCTTCTAAGTGGTATTCATTGTGTTTTCAGAGCACCTCAGCCTAAGATTATTACTTTGGAGAAAGGCTCAGACGGACTGGGTTTTAGTATTGTAGGGGGGTATGGAAGTCCCCATGGAGACCTGCCCATTTATGTCAAGACTATATTTGCCAAGGTATCTTTTTTTTCTTCCTTTATATATAATCTTTTTTAAGAAAATCCCATTATGTTAGGCATAGATAACAGATCCAGAACAAACACATTTTCCCAAAAGCATGTTGTCTGGGTATATGTGCATTAAGAGTCATTGACTGGACCCAGAGCCTTCTTGTTTCTTGAGGTGGTGCTATTTATACACTTCTGTTTTGTGAGATCTGGGATATACACTAAAACCTATTTCCTAGGGTTTCCTCCCTAGGAAAGCTGGGCCTCATCAAGCCCTCTCTTCCTGCATCAATATTGGAGGTTTGTGAAATACCATAGGCCAGTGGCTGTGTAAATTGTTCTGTATTCTCATGGCACCAAGAACTGCTTCCCCTTGCAAAAGAAGAAGACTCTGGAACGGGTCCTCAAATTTCAGAGCCCCCTTCAAGTAACCTCTTGTGTAGGCTCTGCAAGAGCATTTTTAGTCGCTCACTTTCTGTGTAATGACTCCAAAATCTATCAGAGACAGTCCAGATGGAGAGTATGCTGTTGTTATCATCTTTTGGCTCAATGCCTGGAGATTAATGTAGCTCTCTGGTCCTAATGCCATCAGTACATTCACAACCTTGATATCACAGCTGCATGCAGCTGCAGCAATACAGCCTACATCTGAGGTCACCGATTACCTTAAGACTTTAGCCATTGAAACAGTAAATGTATTATTTTCAGTGGAACACCTTATGGTGTGTTGCTGTGTTTTACATAGCTGCGCCTACAATTTCCTTGGGAAATTGGGAGGAAGAATAGTCCTCTTTTAACATTACAGAGAAAAATAATAACATTTAAAGCTTCCTATTTTGTATAAATATATTCCTTTTTAATGTTCTCTCCCAGTTTGAATGGCTGGGGTAGAGTCTTTCCCAACCAGTAGACAAAGACAGAAAACTAGAGACCTGGTTTTCAGGTACATTGTGGCCATATACCATTGAGGCAGCAGCAAGGAGCCTTAGAGTGAGTGTGCCAGAGTGGTGTAGTATCCCCCCATCTCTCAACCTTCAGCTAGGTTTCTCTCCAGGATGCTATTAGAGGGGAACAGGCCTTTGAGGCCCCAAAGATGCTTTGTGACATTCTGAGCATTTCTACACATGTTCTGGGGGCGGGAATGGAGGTAAGGCAGCACTTTAATTAGAGTGGCTCTCTAATTAAAACGCTACTGTGTCTCGTGTACCCTGAACTTAAAAATGGCGACGGGGGCACTTGAACTAAAGCTCATTTGATGCCATTTTTAAGTGCAGGGATGCTGATGCATGAGATGCAGGAGCCTGCCGGAGCACAGTATCTGCCACGCTCCAGCAGACTCGATTAATTAATCAGACACGCTACAGGCTGAGATTATCTTTATGTAGTACCTTCCTTGAGCAGGTTTGTGTCAGGGCTGACCCCAGAAAGGAAACCAGGTGCAGGATGTCACCTAGCCAAGATTTACTTAAACCTTTAGAAATGAATGCAAGAATGGGTCACATTTAGAAGAGGAATATGGGGAGCTCTGACAAAGACAAAACCTTCCACACTCTTTCAAAAGGTTATGCCCAATAAAGCCAGAGGGGATCTAGAAGTCCCCAGCCAAATGACTACCCCTTACACAGTAATGGTGCTTAATTTCCAGAATAAGAGGATAAAGGAAATACAGCCCTGCCACTGCTTTGCAGACTTAACCACTGCCTGAGGAGAGACAGACTCCCAAGGGATGGCACAGCAGAAGTGCTCCACGCATCCCCATGCAGCATGCCTCTGCCAACACCCTCGGCACTAGCCAGCATGGTATCGTAGCCCTGGCTGCAGAAAAAAGAGTTCTGAATCTTAAAATCAGTAACACATTGAATTAATGTTAGTGAGCAGGGCAGGGTAGAGTTTTATTAAGTAAGGGACACAAAAACAGTCTATAATAAATTGGTCATGAGAGTAAGTAAAATGGAGCAGCTGTAAAGAAGATGGATGGACGAATGGAAGAGGATGCCAGCACTAGAAGTCCCCACCTTTAACAGGAAGTGACAGCACTGGAAATGATAATATGTAGGAATTAAGATGTAGCAGAACCTGGGAGCAGGCAGAGAGCTGAGAAAATTATTGATGCTACGCAGTAGATTGGGATGTGAGCCTAGTTACTCCTAATGATAGGTTTTCTCCACCCTGGGGCATGTCTGCACATTGCCCTATGGCAACATAGTGACATGCTACATTACTGTATGGCATACCATGGCAACATAGCGATCACGCGGGTCTACATGTGATCACCAGCTACGTCGCTGTAGCAGTGCACTCCCTGGATATAGCGCACTGCTATGGTGATGTATTGGGGAAATCTAAGCGTGAACTGCCCACACGGCGCAGTAATCTCATGCTCTGCGCCATGCTTTAGTATTTCCAAAAGTGCCATAGCAATGTCATGATACGACAATGTGTAGATGCACCCCTTCTCTAACAAATTCTTTCTGCTGCAGCTTTTAATTTTAGTACTTGAAATTGTAGATGTACATTGGAAGTGTTTCCTCCATTCATTATTACAGGAGGTTGTAAATATGAAAATGCACACACAGAGAGCAGCAGCATGGTTTTACTTTAAAAATAAATATTACTTAAATAAGAAACATGATGCAAAATTGTTTCAGGGCCTGTGTCTCATAGCCGCAGAGCAGGGAACATGGCCTGCTTTCTTGAAATTACCATGTGCATATACTTGAATAGAATTAGCTTTGGAATTGCCTCTGCAGAGGCAGAACAAAAAGATTTCAGATAAATATATTGACTTGCTGTACGTATTAGACCATCAGTTGAGGAACGGAGGGCCAAGCAGTATGAAGTACAGCTTGTACAAAAACTATATCCAGACATCCCAGGGCTCAGAACCTGAATGTGTCAGCTCTGATGTGTTGCGTTTTGTGTTTGCTCCCCCTCAATTAATGCTTATATTAAATTACTTCAACATAAAAAGTCATAATGTAGCAAAATTCATGTTAAAAATACTCATTGCAGACTATTGTGAGGTATTTTATACCACTGCCTCTTACGGTTCTCTCCTCAATTACACATGTGGAAATCTGAAACATATTGGGCGTTTTAATTAACATTTAGATTTATAAGTATCCATTTGCTTCCCTTTCCCAGTCTCTGCAGGTATTTTGTAACACGTACCCTCTTTACATTCTTGCTTTTCACAGATCTCCAGTTACAGGTCTTTCTCTTTCCCCTAGCCAGTGCTATCTAGATACTGTTGATTTGGGAAGAACTGTTGGTTTTCCTCCCTAGGAAAGGTGGCCATGTGGAAGTGTCACGGCATTTGGAACAGACCTTCTCCAGTAATACATATGGAAGATCTGTAGTTAAAACAGGCATTAGGAAATGAAAACGTTATTTTAACAGGCATTTTCAAACACGTATTTTCAATCTGTCTCTTTTTCTCTGTGTTTCTACATTTTAGTTCTTTCATGTGTTTAGCTGTCTTTTCTTTACCATTTATTTGGTTGGTGCAACCAGGGGTGGATGCGGGGGGGGGGAGGGGTGTGCAGTGGTGCTGATACACCTCCTCTTTCAGTTGATGCCACATGAGTAGGAGTTGGGGAGGTCCCTGAAGCAAGTAAGGATTCTTCCCTTCCCCTCTCCTCAGAGGCATGTCCGTGCTTCTCCCACCACTGCCCCCACTCACCATTGTTGCTGTCCTCAGCTGCGTCAGGATGTGGAGCTCCAGAGTTGCTTCTACCCTGCCACAACAGGTCCTGTGGGGAGCCAGGCTCAGCCAGGGACACTGGCAGTGGTGGCAGCTGGCAGGTTTGTCTTCTGTTCCTGGTCCCCTGGGTGTTTCTTGTCAGCCCAGGATCAGGCTCAGAGAGAGGGAACCTGCCTGCTGCTGCTGCTGGTGTCCCCTGCTGAGCCTGACCAGCCATGCAGTCCAGCTGGAGCAGGGCAAGAGCAGCTCTGGGGCCTCCTCCCCATAGCCCTAGGGCAGCCAGGGCACACAGGAACAGCAAGAGCAGCAGCACCAGGTTGGGTAGTTAAGTAAGGGGAGGAGAGGGGAAGGGAAGGAAGGGAGGGAGGGACCAAGAGGGGTAAGGGAAGATTATTACCTGATTGGGGGACTTCAGAAAGTCCCTGCCTGATGCTTCTGCAGGGCAGTCTGCCTGCCCCAGTGGTGGGGTGGAGGTGGGGGGAAGATAGGAGCACGGGTGCAGCCACCCCTGCAGCAGTCATTACTTCTACACCCCCCTTAACAAAATCCCGGATCTACCCCGGGTATGATGGCAACCCTCTCTATACAAGGGTTTAATGTATAAAGTAATTTCCTCCATATCATCATTTCTGGTGCTGTCACTTTACATTAAGGCGAGACTTCCAGTGTCATCCTTCTCCTCATCTCATCCATGAGTCTTTTTAACAGAAGGCAGGGCTGACTTTCTGCTGGCCTCTAACATAATGTTTTGTTGTTTGCAGGGAGCAGCTGCAGATGATGGCAGATTGAAGCGTGGCGATCAAATTTTAGCAGTTAATGGAGAAGCTCTGGAAGGTGTTACTCATGAACAAGCTGTAGCTATTCTGAAACGCCAAAAAGGAACTGTAACATTAACAGTGTTATCATGAATCTCATTGAACTTGCAGAGATGAATGCAATTATTTTAGAACATTGGTAGAGCTGCTGTAATAATGTACAGTCCTGAGTGAGATGAAAAGCAAACTTCATCTAAGATTATCATATTTGTATCCCATTGCCTGAGTGGGTTGTATATATCTATGGTTTCATTTAGTCTTATAAATGAAGCTTACTGCTCAGTAATTTTTTTTCCTATTACTTCTCAGATATCTTGTGACTTCTGTTTTCTCTCAACAAGGTTAACTTAGAAAACTTTAATAAGTACCGTACTTGCAAAAATATCAGTCTACCCCAGACCAATCCCTAGTATAACTGCAGAAGCTGGAATTAACAACCAACACACAAAAGAGAATTTAGAATATTGTTTGATCTCATCTGATGAGCAGAAATAAATGCTAAGTGACTTGTCATCTCGCTCATGATTTACTTATGCTAATTGTCCCTTCAAGTATGCCAGAAAACATTAGCAATGTAATTAAATTACCACTGTTCCAAATGATGAAATATCAAATTCTCCTCTGGGAAATTATTTGTGCTCTGCACAGTAAGTCTGATAGTCAAATGCTAACTTCTCATAGCTATCTCTCTGGATAGATCTAGGGAAGTTAGTCAGTGATAATTAAGATGATATGTCAATTTGAAGCCTTTAACTTTGGGGGAAAACTGGAGGAAAACTGTCTTTTTCCATCTTTTAGAATCTCTCTCCAAGTCTTTTAATATATTGATGCAAAGTGAGCAACATGTTTTATTCTGTTCTAATTAAATGTTTATAGAACAAGAACTGTTTGGGCTGAGATCTTCTGTTACAGTGCAGCTGTAATTGTGCTGGGTTGCAGCACTAGTGTCCATAATTTTAATTGTACAAAGGCCAAAGTTTGACTCAATAATGTGATATTCTAATTCAGCGGGCATGAAAGCTAGCGAGTTATCATCCCCCTGCACTGTGATTCCCAGCAGCACTGAGGACTAAATGAAGGCAGCCTGAACCAATGAACCATTTGCAAGCTTCCAGCAGCCCGCATGGTGTCAGCTTGTGTGAGAAGGAACCTTTGCTTTATCCTAAAGGACAGTTCTTCATCCAGCAGCCTGTACTTCAGATTGCTAAAGTCTGTTTTTGTACAATGCCACTTAGTGATTTAGCAAGTGAACTGGGCAAGCAGATTAGTGGTAATTCAAGCTGTTGTAGTTTAATTGCTCTAACTGCATGAATACTGATGACATGCAGAAAGCAGCTCAGTGTAATATAGATATAATTTATGATGAAGCAGCAAGGAAAGCGAATCTGGAAAAAAGAGAGAAACTATTGAAATCAGCCAGTTTTGTGGGAAATAATTTCTCTATGCATGGAATTCTGCTGGCGCGCAGTGTTTTAAGTAACACTAGTAAAAGGCTTGTGTTATAAGTATGGTTTGGCTGGAACATGTATTCTTGTGATTGTATAAAGAAAAGTATAAGGAATAGATAAAGTAAGCAAGATGTGATCAGTTGTCATTGAAAATATTTTCCTTATTTCCTTTAAAATGATATCTAACTATTAGGTAATCACTAAGTGCATTAACCTGTTGGAATATTTTGTGGGTATTCCATAAATAGTGCCTGAAAGAGATCTATGTTTTGAAATGGATTTTCATTGTGCTGGTTGATTTGTTAATGTGAAATGTTAGTGAAATCTTATTTATAAAACGCACAAAAATTTGTCCAGCTGTACCAATTTGGGGAATTTTTAACAAGTTGTCTTTGATTTCCATAGTATACAAAAGTTAAACATACTTAGATGAATCTTGAAGAGGCATCTTGATAATGTATTATTTAAGTTGTAACCTAAATCTAAAGAATATTTGTCTATCATCAAAAATCCATTAAACGCATTCTTTTTAAATACTGCAACACACAATTAAATTTTACATGACCATTTTTCATGCTCGTATGCACATACTGTTGATATAAAAATTTAGAATTTATGGGCTGAGATATTTGCACTTCTCATTGCTCAGATTGGAGATAACATTATTGCTTCATGTAATTTGCACTTTTTCTCTGTGTTAAGTATACTACTGCCAAAAATTGCATTGCATTGCAACTAATTGATAAACCAGTGACCATGTGGAAAAGCAAGTGCTGTATATAAAGGACCAAGTTACATAATCGAATCTGCATTGCGCTTGTCTGGGTCTAGGTGTTCTGGTTTGTTTAAAACTTTATCTGTCTCTGTGCAAGGGCAAAAAGCAATTAAACAAATTGACTGTATGTTTATGTATATCAGTAAAATAAGATGTTTTATGACTTCCAAAGATTCCAATTAAAGTTCAATTACATAAGCGGCTGTTCAGCTTTTTTACTTGAGGACAATTCACAGTGAGTCCACATATAATTTGATTGTACCATGTCTAATGTTCCCTGTTGTAAGCAGGGCTCATTACCATATTTCCAGCAGGAGCATGAACTGCTCTAAGGAGGGGACTGAACAGAAAGGTAGTGACAGGCAGCCGAGTCCCTTCATCTCCGTAAACAAATTGCTCTTGAAGTGCAGCTGTCAGAGGGACCATCTTGTGCACATGCCATTAAAACACAATTTTCTGATTCAAACGATTCTGGAGTATTAAGCAGTTTGTTCTAGCCAAGGAAATCCCACAAAAGCAACCAGGTCGGGAATACAGGGTTCCAGAATGGGCAGCAGAGAAGGAAGAGATGAGTGAATGGAGGTGAGGACTCAAAGGGTCAGAGGTCCAAGGGAGCATTCAGCAGAGGAGCAAGCTACACCATGGAGGAAATCTGCATGGGTTCCCACAGCCACAAGCTGATCGGAGGTCCGCTGAAAGGAGCCTCAGCTGTAGGGTCACGAAACTCAGTTGTCACTGTTGTTTACTTTCATAAAGAAGTGAATAAGCTGTGATCGGCAGGATGCAGTAAATGACAAGCTCAACGTCCCTACTTGTCAGCTCCCATCTCTTTGCATTTTCTAGGCTATCTCCACAAAGAAGAAGGCAGGAGACTCATTAAAAAAATAAAAGAAAAGAAAAAAAAAAAGCCTGTCCCTTGCATTTCTGCCTCCCCCTTACAGGCTGTTTCACCTGTAGGTTTACTAGGTCCCAGAGGAGCAAATTATCTTGTGCTCTGTCCCTGCTGACAACGACTAGCCTCTGTGACTAGCCAGCACAGCATGAAAGGATGTTCATGCAGATGCACCATCGTGGCACTGGAGGGTAGTCAGCTTCCAGACAGTAAGTTTAACCTGGAATAATAAGAGGATTGTGTCAAATTAGACTTCTGTTTGAAGAATAGCTGTAATGCCACTAAATTCCTTGTAATTAATCAAATGGTGATTACCACCAAGGAAATGTGACATAGAGGGTCTATTGAGGTAATATGATTATGTTGAGATGGAGCAGTTAATGTACCTTTGCCTGAAAGGACTGAAATGAATTAATTTAACATTACACATGTATAAAACATTAGTTTTTACTGTCGTACAGAGAGCATTGATGTATAATTCCATTATCATCTTTCTCCACAGTTTCACACTTCTGTATCCATAATTTAGCTGTATTTACACTATTTAAAACACTGTCAGAGTCATTGTTTTCCTTCTCAGCTGCAAAGAACATCTTGTTAGTATGGACAATCCTGGGATATCTAGGTTCTTTCCAAAGGAATAAAATTAAACCTTTTGCTGTTCATGTATCTGAAAAAGAAAGGATCTTTTTCATTTTATCCCAAATCTTGTTCTCCCTGCCCCGACTGCCCCACCCCACCCCATACACTCAACTGCTTAAAACAGGCTTGTCCAACGTACGGGCCGCGGGCCGCCATGCGGCCTGCCAAGGCATTTTCTGTGGCCCGCGGTGCTGTGATGGGAAACGAAAGTAAACACGGTTTACTTTTGTTCCCACCCCTTGTCCCTCCCCCAGCCCCTCAGCAGCTTCCTAATGGCTGCTGAAGGGCTGGGGAAGGGACAAGGTTCCCACGCACCGCGTCAGATTGACATTGCTGGGCTCATCCTGAGGTTCATTTCATGTTTGTAAAATGCTTGGAGAGCCCCCACATAGATGCACTGCATAGAAATGCAAAATATATTTTGACTTATTTGGTTGGCACCTTGGGCTGAGATTTGCAACGCTGAGTCAAAAGGCCAACTTCCATTAAAATGAATGGGATGTAGAAGGCTCCAAATCTTTTATGACAACTTTGTAACATGCCTATCTACCCCGTTTTGCAAATCTCAGCCATAGTTGGGAAGGTCGGCCAAAGAACATGAGAGCTGCTGAACATAAGAGCATAAAAAGCGCCATGCTTGGTCAGCCCCATGGTCCGCCTACCTCAGTATCCTGTCCCGAATGGTGGCAGAGGTGGATGCTATAGAGGGAGAGTTTTGAACTGGTTAGACCCATTTCCCTGTCACTTCCTGCAATGTCATTGGTGTCAAAGGTCACGTGACATCACTTCCTGATGTGATACCACTTCCTGTGAGGTCTTTGAATATGGCTCGCCGGCCCGCTGGGTGATAAAAAGTTCGTGATCCGGCCCCACATTCAAAAAGGTTGGACACCCCTGGCTTAAACAATACCAATACAGCTGGAGCAATGCTTATATCTGAATAGTTTATTTCTGTACAGGAATTAGAAATCAGTTTTTCCTGTACAAGGCACCTTTATTGCTGGTGCAATGGTATTTGCATTATGGATTGTACCTTAATATATTTGTTAAAATGCAGCCCCTAATCAAAACAGTTTTGCCAATAAAAATCTCTGTGAAGGTCAGGTTATTTTCCTGTGCTCCTCACATTGGGTAGATAGGGTGGTATTAAATTTCCATGTGCACATGCTGTGCAAAGTTCCTACATTATATTTCATATAACCACTGTCTTCTCCCAGTAAAGAAGAA